GGGGGGGGGCTGGGGGTGTTGTTGCTAGGGGGTTAGGGGTATTGATGCTGGAACATCATCACAGGGTGCCCCTGCCCACAGCTGGGGATGGGGGCAATGCCATCAGCAGTTTCTCCAGGAGCCAGGGGCTACCCCCAGATGGGGGTTGGGGGAAGCACTGTTTGGCCCCCCCATATCCCACCTCACAGATGGTTTAGATCAGCCAGGCCCACCTTGGTGCAGGGACAATAAGGCTCCTCAGGGACATCCTACCCTGGCCCCTTGGGGGCTGGCCTGGCCTGGGGGCCGCAGTGGCAGGGGACCCTCCCTGGCCCCGGTGCTTGGGAGTCAGTGCCCGAGGGGGCGGGGACCCATCCGATCAGGATGCCGGTGCCAGGAGGTCAGGCTGTTGGGGCAGAGGACGGCTGCAGCTGCTTTTATTGCCCCCATCCCTTTTTGCTTCTTTCCCTCCTGCCCCAGGGATGGGGAATTGGGGAGGGGGATTTTGGAGATGGTGGAGGGGCGCCAGCCCCCCGCTGCAAGCCCAAGCGCCATCTCCCTCCACACGCACCTGGCCCAGTTCGTCCCCCCCCAGCCTGGCCCAGCTGCCCCCACCCCTCCCGAAACAGGCGCCAAGCCGGGATGGGCGCCCGGACCCCGGTGCCAGGCTGGGGCCATGCGTTACTGCTGACAGAGGCGGAAGAGTTGCCCGAGCGTGAGTCACCCATGCTGCAGCACCCAGCTGCTCCAAAGCAGCCCTGCAACGAGTTGTGTCTGGTCTCAGACCGAGCAAGAAGCCACTATCCTGGGGCGGGGGGCTGAAGGGGTTGCCGGCAGGACGGAGGTGCTGACACCGGCCCCGGCTCTTCCCGCAGTGGCCGTGGACACGACGCTGTGCGTGGAGTGGAAGGAGGTGAAAGCACTGTCGCCACTGAGTGCCACCCGCCCGCTGCCCCGCCTGGTGCGCCAGGCCTCCTTCGACAGCCAGGACTTCCTCCAGGTACCGCCGAGCCCAGCCGTGCCCGGCCAGGGAGCCTGTGTGCCGGTACCCCACGGCGGGGCACCCGGCCTGGCCGTGGCTGGGGGTGCGTGGGGCTCCGCTGCCCACCCGGCCCTGCCAGCTCGCAGCCGGCTCTGGGGCTGCTCTGACGTCAGCCACGAGCCGGGCTGTATCCTGGGAGAAATCAGTCCACGGTGCCTCGTTGCCATGGCAATGCAATTTGTTGCGCGCCTCCAAATCCTGCATCGCTTCCCCCGTGGCCAAAGGCTCGGGGCCTGGCGTGGCCGGGACAGGCAACGAGGACATGCAGCGGGATGTTCTGGCATGGCGGGTGCTGCCGGGGAGCGGGCGCCGGGGAGGCCGGCCATGGTGGCCTTACACGTGCACGCGTGTGCGTGCGCGCACAAGCTGGGGGGCACGCTCGGTGGTACCAGGCGTGCACACGCGTGTGTGCGCGCGCGTGCATGTGTGGAGGTGCACGTGTGTGTACAGTACATGCACACATGGAGTGAGCACATGTGTGCGTGCAGTGAGTTCATGCGTGTGCACAGTGAGGAGGGCCCTATCTGCAGTGAGGGGATGTGTGTGTGTGCAGCGAGTGCACGTGTGTGTCTATGGTCAGTGCATGCGTATGAGTGTCTCTGTGTGTGTGTATACATGTGGTTATGTGAGCCGGCATGTGCAGGCGTGTGCACTGAGCATGTCTGTGCGTGCACATATGTGCATGCACATGTAAGAGCGCAGGCCTGAGTGTGCACACAGGCGTGCATGTACCCACAGCCCTGTGCATAGCGGCTGTGACATCCCTCTGCACACGTGTGTGTGTGTGCCTGTAACACGCCTGTCTGCACAGACACCCCAGGCCCCACGGGTTGGGCACCAAGCAGGGCCAAGCCCCCTCCCGGGGCACGGGGGTGGGCAGGGTGGCCGGGGGCTGTGACGGCCCTGTCCGCTCCGGCAGGTCAATGTTGAGGACACTGTCGAGATGCTGCCCAAGTCGCGGCGCGCGCTGACCATCCAGGAGATTGCCGCCCTGGCCCGCTCCTCGCTGCACGGTAACTGCTCGCCTGGCCCGGGGGCATCCGGGGAATGAGGGGGGGGGGTGTCTTCTGTGGGCGAGGGAGCTGGGCTTCTTGGGGAGAGCACTGGGGTCAGCCTCTGGGATTTGGGGGGCTCAAGGGGTCCCTGGTGGCACCCAAGAGGAGGGCATGGGGGGTCGCAGGTCCCAAGGGGGTGCTGGGTCATGGGCTCTGCGGATGGGGCTTGGGGTGCCCAGGGGATGCTGACGCGGGGGCACATCTCGCAGGCATCTCGCAGGTGGTGAAGGAGCACGTGACGAAGCCAACGGCTATGGCGCAGGGCCGCGTCGCCCACCTCATCGAGTGGAAGGGCTGGTGCAAGCCGGTGGAGCCGCCCGCCGCCCTGGAGAGCGCCTTCAGCTCCTACTGCCACCTGAGTGAGGGCGAGCAGGAGGCACGCTTCGCTGCCGGTGAGCGCTGCGCGGGGCACGGCCAGCGGGCACACTCCTCTGCTGCGGCCGAGGGCAGTGCTGGTGGGGTGGGTTGTGCCCATCCATCCATCCATCCATCCATCCATCGGTACCATGGCACCGTGGGCATGGAGGCGGTGGGGCAGGGGGGATTTTGGGGGCACCTCCCAGTGCATGCGTGACCCATGCCTGTCCCGTGCCAGGAGTGGCGGAGCAGTTTGCCATCGCTGAGGCCAAGCTGCGAGCTTGGTCCTCGGTGGACGGGGACGACTCCAACGACGAGTCCTACGACGAGGACTTCATGCCCTCCACGGAGAGCTCCCAGCCCACCGGTAAGCACCATGGGGAGCAGGCACCCACCAGGCAGGCAAGGTGTCCTGCTGCTGGCGTTGGTGTCCTTCTGCCAGTGCCAAGGGTTGAAGGATTGGGGTGCCCGATGCCTGGCCACTTTCCCCAGCCTGGCCACCCCCTTACGGGGCAGTGTCCCTGCCTGGCACCATGGCAAGCAGTGCCCATGCTGGGGATGGGGAAGCCCTGCAACGTGACACCATCCCCGGTGCCAGGGCATACTTTGCTTTTCCTTTGGTGGTCACCGGTGCCACACATGCAGCATTTTGTGGGCAAAGGGGATACAGAGCCTGGCATGGGACTGCTTCCATCCCACTGCTCCCATCCTGTGGGGCACAGGGCAGCCCATGGTGCCATCAGCCCTGGACTGACCCTGGGCATCCCGGTTCTCCGCAGAGCTGCCCAGCACGGTGCCCGCCAGCGCGCTGCTGCGAGACCTGCTGCAGGGCCACCTGTGCCAGCTGGGTGTGCAGCACGGTTCCTGCGAGCCGGAGAGCGACTCCTCGCACACCCTCTCCCCCGAGACCCTCTGCTCCAGCCTCTGCAGCCTGGAGATGGTGTCCCCCTCTGAACTCACTGCCAAACTGCTGGGCTCCCTGGGGAGCGAGGACCTGCTGCTGCCCAAGCTGCCCCCCCCGGCCAGCCAAAGTGCCTTGCGGGGCCTGGCACGGCTCCGGTGCCAGGACTCCCTCTACTCCGTGTCCTACGCCGAAGCCTGCCTCTCGCCCGCTGAGGATGAGGTGGTGCTGAGCAAGGACTTCCCACTCCGCCGGAAAGTCTCCGACGTCGCCTCCTCCGGGGTGGCATCGCTGGAGGAGGAGGAGGAGGCCGAAGAGCCCTGATGCCCCCCTGGGGTGCCCTGCCTCTCCCGGCGGGGGTTCAGCCCCCCCGCCGCCGCCCTCTGGCCGGACCCCGCACTGGGCGAGGGACGGGCTCTGCCGCTGCTCCCCCTCGCTGTCTGGGTGCAGGGAGGGTTCGGGGGGCCACTGCAGCCCCCCCAGCCAGTGTGCCCCCGCTGTGCCCTGGCCCCGCTTGGCCACAGCGTTGCCCTCCTGGATTTTTGCATGACAGCGGGAAAGGGGCACAGGGAAGGGCTTTGGGCGGGGGGGGTCTGACACCTGCCCTGATGCCCAGATGTGCCCCCTAAAACTGATGGGACTGAATCAGTGGGGCTGGTTGTTCGCATGTTCCCCCCTCAAACCGCCCGGGGCTCATCTTTCGGGCACAGACCCCCCCCACCGTTGGCATGGCTGAACCTCTCTGAGCATCCTGTGGTGCCCCCGCGCCGTGCCCAGCACCCTCGGCTCGGGGTGGCGGAGGGATTTGGGGAGCTGGGGGCTTTTCTCCTCTCTCCCCGGCCGGCTTTTATCGGACTGAGTTTTAAACTGTGAACTGCTGCCTCGGGGCAAGGGGCCAACGGGGGTGCCGGGGGGGGGCCGCAGGTGTGCCGCGGTGCCGTGGCTTTCTATACTTTTGTACGCGTATGGGGTCGGCACGGGGAGACTGCAGGGCCAGGTGGGGGCCGGGTGGGCATGGCATGGGCCCCCGGGCTGGGGGCTTTGGGCCACCAGCGACAGCACCTCCAAGCCAGCCCCGCGGCAGGGGGCTCAGCCCAGCCAGGGACCCCCAAGTCTGCCGTGGGGCAACGTGGGGTGGAGAAAGGGGGGAGGCGGCGGGACCGACGTCCCCGTCACTGAGTCACTCACCCCTAGCAGGGAACCAAGTGCCTACACGAAGGGCGACCAGCTCCCCCGTCCTGGCCGGGGGTGGCACCCCAGCTCGGGGGCCCCCCCAAGGCCGTGCCGGGGGTCCGGGCACGCCATTTGGGGGAGGAATGCCAGTTTTTGCCAACGCTTGTGTCCCCCTTCCCGCATGGCACGTGTTCTCGTGGAGCCGCTCGCCCGCTGCATGCTGCTCCTCACCCAGCCCGGCCACGGCCCCCCCCCAGCCCTGCACCCCGGGGTGCCCCCAGCACCCGCT